TAACATTCATAAAAGGGAGTTTTCTTTCGTAGAAGACTTAAAAATAGAATTTGTGTTATGAGCAAAGGTGAGCCACAAACAGGGAATGTTTCTCCGGGCTTTGCTGTCTTCGCCTGTCTTTCAATTGTTGTAACGCTATTTCAGTTTCAAAATCTCGTAACCTTTACCCTAATAATTTACTGAAACACATCTGACAATTTTACAAAGTTGTAAATGTGTACTCTTTTTAGTACACTGACACTCCAAAGGTGTTCTTCACACCACTTCATAAAGACCTGTTAAACGAATGTAATCCCAGGCCATTGTTGCGAAACAGTCTTCCAACAATAACTAATGCGGTCCGGTGTTCCATTGTTCAACCAAAAATGGGATACGTAGAAATCGCCAGACAGGTATGAGGTGTTCTCAGTCCACGCTAGTAGAGCGTGAAGAACACCCAAAAGCAGGTTGTGAGACTGTGAATAAAATTAAATTTGTTCAATAAATCGATATAAAGCTTTTGTTGTAACGGTCGCCTTCGGCTTACGTGATCAGGGGCCTTTTGTTCAGTTGAATACCTATATTCTATTCGGAAAACATTCTGTATTAGGGACTTAAGTTATTAAAGTCAATTACAAAGATGAGAATAAGAATCTGACATCCGCTGTACATAACAAATCTGTCTAATTTTAATTTTACCCATCATTGAAGACTTAAAATTACGCGGAAATTTTAAATAGTGGGAAGAAACAAGAGAAAACTAGCGAAAACACTGAAGTAATAGAAAATAAAAGTAAGTAACACTGAAAAATTTGATCATTCTGTTGAATTATTTCTAAATTCGAATAGAAGCAATTTCATGGCATACACTGTCTATGTTTTAATTGTGGCATTGGAATCATACAGTAATAAATCAAATGACATTAATGGCAATCGTTCGACGGGAAATTAATTACAAAAATTCGATTGAAGAGACGGGCAAGGTTAAACGTAAACAGCTTAAGGGCAGTCCACAATCAGTGACACCAATTTTCTAAAGTCCATATAATTTTCAGTATTTTCAACTTTATCTCTCGGTTTATTACTTTCGAAAATTCACTTTATTTTCAGAGGAAAGACTGTTTTTCTTACCTTGCACCTGTAAGAGTTAAAAGCAAACATCCAAGCTAATAAATCGTACACTCCTAGGTACAGACTGGGACATTCGAATAAACAAGGCTATAAAAGGTAAAGCAACCGAAAAACAAGCTGAAGTGAAAACATGAAAGTTCCCGTTTGTAATAAATTGTTTTGAGTCACTTAAGAAGAATTGGGGTTTTTAAGGAATTTTAACGAATTCATTGTTCAGGGACGATGTCTAGCTACAGCGCCTCAGTCCCCATAAACATCCGATGGGGGGGTGGGGTTAAGTTCCCGTGCTTCCACATTGCTGTTGTGACATTCCATCTCTTTGCCTCTTTCTGATGTAGACCTACATTTAATGTTCCGTATACCAGGCGTCGGCAAACTGCGACCACACCTCGAAACATTATTATACGGTTCATCTCAGGATTTTGGGAATTAGCCAATACGAGAATGGCAAATGTTTGTTGCTCTTTATTGCGCTTAAATAATATAAAAAATATTTTAAGCGTAAGAAAGAGCAATAGCAAACGATGATTTAAGAAATAAAAATTTTGTAGATGCATACATATAACATTAAAATTGCGTAACTGCGCGAAGGTAGATTGTTTCGTTATTTTAAACCATATGTACTATAACAAAATAATATTAAAATTACCGTAGTGTGAATAGCTGAGGTTTTATAAATTAACAACGGCTTCAAAACTGTTTTAAAGCTAACAAATAACGTTTTAGAAATAAACTCATTTGCTATTATCCGCTTTCAAGTGAACGCCAACTTCCTCGTGCTTTCGCTTATTGTCGACGAAATTTTTTTTGGGGCCCTCCACAAAGTTGTGAATGGTCAATGCGGCCCTCAGTACTGAAGAGGTTTCCGACCCTTTACGACAATTTTGCGTTTGCCTGTGTAGTTGCAGCACAGTGTTCTACGTCTTCCCATTCACGGACGTCGTACTAAGTGGGATGGTGAGTGGGCAGGGGGCCAGTTCCTCCACATATAATTCAATATTGCGCTCCGGAATTCGGGTTCTAAATTGTATAACTTTTCCGACATCTTTGGGTTCAGCTATAACGTTCATTTTCTTCTTCAGAAGTTTCAAAATTCCTCCACTTCGCCGGACAACCGAAGGGGTTTCGTGATTTTTCTCAGTTGTGTTAGGCGAGTACTGGGATAACAGATGCAACTGAAAATAAGCGGCCGACCACTTCCACGTCCTTTCGATTTCTTAGCGAACAAGCATTATAGGCGTAATCTCTGTGGCGTTGTTAATATGTGGTGCTTGGTAATACGTGCGTAAGTCAAAAGTAATTTGTATTGACTTGAACCGTTCTAACCGGTCATCGAAGAATACCTATTAAGTATGTTTGTCTTCAGGTTTGTAACGCCGTGTGCCACCATAAAAACCTGACATTTAACAAACCTTATAATTAGCCCATCAAGATTGAATCGGTGTCATTAATGATAACTAATTTCGTTTATTTTATAATATTAGAATTTTTTTTAAAACTAACCATTGGACTTGGCTTTAAATTTGAAATTTTACTCAGGTCCACTTATTTTACAGTTTCTTAAAACTTTCTTCATTTAAACACATAAAAGCTTGGTATGTGATGCTCTGAAAAATAATTTTGGGAACACGTAGACCATATATATTTATTGTCTTAGTTCCATCCGGTGGAAAAATGTATTCTGTGAACATGACTCCTCCATTTCGAAAGCTGTCAGAATTGTTAACATCGGTTGCGCTAGGCCTACCTAGTCTCAGACAGTAAAGCTTAGGATGACGTCTGTTAGGCTGACAAATGTGTCTTGAAAAAGTTACAGGTAAACTTATAGCTACTGGGGGTACATTGGCAGTGAGTGGAAAAGTGGGACCACTGCTACGGCCCCCTTATAACTGGAGAACTTGCTGTATCCATAGGGGTCGAACATCGATAACCAATACTCGAGAGCACAAACAAACGTAGACCTTCGCGATATACAATGGGGAAACCAATTTAAAGATGGACCGGCAAGTGGTTAAATAAAATAATATTTCCAAGTTTTATTCACCAAATCAGAAATCGTGCCCCGACGCCACAACCATTAAACTCTAATTTGTGACCTTGATGCCAAGGAATTTGAAATCAGTTATTCAGTCATGGGAAAAAAATTAGCATTATAAATATGAAGTCCGTTTATATAAATAAATTTCTGCTAGCTAGCAACTCGCCTTACGATAACCGAAAACAACAGCAGTAGCTGCAAGCAACAATCAAGTTGAATTAATTAACATCAAATAAATTCAGTTATAGACAGGCACTAAAAATTAAACACAGCAATTTATCACGAAACGTAAACAATACAGTAGAATAAATTATACAGACAACAGATAAGATCAAATAAAAAATAGCCTGGTCCACAATAATGAACAATGGTATATGAAGAGAGCTGACCAAGATAAACACGTTGTAAGATTATAAAATGACAGTTTCGGAAAAAAAGAATCTTTGTTAAAACCGTCAGTGTTCTTGCTGCTGACAGACTGGCCTTGAGATAATGGTGCACAATTGATGTAGTTTCTGACACTCCTATTAGGTACGCGCTAACACAATCCAGAATGGAAAAGTGGTTAATTTTATTTCTAAAGACATTAATGAGGAACTGGTGAATGCGGCGAGGATGCTTATATCTATTAGACATTCGGTGGCGGTCACTGGTTATATATGTGGTATCCATTACGTAGCAAATCGGAAGACGTCATCTGACACAAGATGTGATGAGCTACTGACTTCGGTTTTTGTTATCGACACGAACCGAGTAATAAGCTACATGCACTTCTTTAAGTTTTATACGCAAGCTCGTTGAATCGCTTTCCAGGCTCTACTGGACTAAGTTTCTGGGGCTTTCAGCAGTTTTTGTAGACACGTTTGTACACAAAAGTTAGTCTATGCCAGTCTGATTCCTCCTGTATCCTCGTGGCTCGTCATTAAATTTTAATCAGTTTTATAAATCAGAATATTATAAAAAAACACATTAAACTAATCCTACCTATGAGTGATGATTGTGAGTGGAAATTATGATGATTTTTATACATTTCAAAGACTCTAAATCAATTCGTAAAACTGTTATTTTTAGATCACAATGTTTTGGTTCTGAAACATTGTAGTTTTATAATTTTGTAGCTCAGACGATCGTCAAAGTCCAAAAGAACATTTTTACATATTATAACGCACCATCATCAGAAACCTTCAGAATCAAGTACAGTACAGCTCAGTTATAGATAAAGATGGATGGGTAGGTAATGGATTATTTAATGATTCTATGTCAGCTGGAGTGGTTACGAAGCGTCGAATTATATTCTTTTATTTCTCATACCGTATAGCTGCAAATTACTATCAGAAGTTGACCAACTAGCTTTTATTACACTTATATGAACAATACGTGACTTGTGTTGGATTTGTATCAGATCATTATCAATGACCGACGTTAATGCGTATGAATGTTTAAAAATATATCAGCTGTTAATATAAAGTTGCCAGACAAGTACAATACTGTTATGACAGATATGCTCACTGACGTAGGACACTTATAGATCTGAAAGTACATGTCCGATACAAGCAATCTACTGCTAACGTCAGCTAGTTCGTTACCTTCTGTTGGTTAAATTATGTGATAAGATGATTATGTTCGGTGAAAGGACTGGGAAGAAGCTGTCGTGGCCTATTTAATTACATTATTCTTGCATTCGGCTGGAGGAATAGATAAATCCCAGGATAATCTGCGGTCGGGCCGAGATCTAACTGAGAAACTGCCGAATTCAAGTCAGAATCGAAACCGCTTCAGTCGACTTGCTCGGTGAAACACATTGGATGAATAATTGACGCTGTACTGTGATTAGAAGTGTCAGTAGCCTTACCTGATGCTCCCATTACAATATCTGAGAGCCATTTCCACTTGATCTTGGAGCAGGAGTCCATATCTTCCGGGTTGGTTCCGGACTGTAGCGTCGACTTCAGGACCGCGTGGTCTCCGTTGTGTTTCGGCGTCGGAGAGGTGGGAAATGTGAATTGCTGCGAGAGGGAATCACAACGTGAGTTGAGACAGCAACGTCACATTAACCTAACTACACTAAGCTGCTACTCCGTCTCCGTCCACACTTGTTGCAGTGTGTTCCCCTTCATCATCTGCTCTTGTTATATGAACACATGCTCCTCGCAGTTGCCTATCTTCTCCTACTCTACCGTTCTCTGATTCGTCCGTTCAAACTTCAACAGTCCAGCCCTCGCTCTCTCAGTACTGAAACTACGTATTGTTAATACGTATAGGAATCTGATCTGAAATAACTGTTGGTTATGAACTGAATTGGGATCATCCTTTAAAACTCAGTGGTAATTATGTGTAACACCAACTTTAACAATCAATAACAAATATGCATTTTGCTTGCTGATTATATTTATAACCACAACCGCATGGTTCTCAGAATAAACAGCGATTATTTTGGTGGTGTTGGTTTCGTATTAGGTCTGTTTAACGACCGTGTGTCAACTGCTATGGTTTCTTTCGTCCAATGAAAGTATTATATAATGATTATTTTTTTAAGCGCGCCTGTACAAGTCCCGAGAAGAATTAGAATCCCTGACCCCAGGGTATGAAGGACCTAAGACCGTAAGTGGAATTTGAGATTCTCACGGTGGTGAGTACGGAGATGTCTTTTGGGCTGTAGCTCCGTGTAGTCTGGTAGACGTTTGTCATCAGGGCTACAAGACCACACGGCGCAACAGCCCAAAAGACAGCCACCTTCCACCTAAGACCGTCCTCACTTTAAAATGAAATATCACGCATTTCCGCCATGTTGTTTTGGAAGTCTGAATGAGATTTTTAATCTTATTTGATTTGTTTACTGATTATGTCTCAATTAATAAAATCGTGTAATATTGAATCATAATGTTGAAAAAAGAAACGACTAGAAATTAAGATTGCGCGTTCTACTACAGTTGTCCTTAATTTGCCACTTAAATCAGAATAGATGGTTTCTCGACACAGATTCAAGGAGGGAACAACCACAACTGCACTGATTCCTTCAACATCTTTAAAAAAAATTGTCTCACATTCATCCTACTATCTCGGGCTACATAAATTATACAGTTGAAGAAGAGTCGCCAAATAACCCAAAAATCAATCAGAAGACTTAAAACGAACAGTAGTTTCATAAATAAACGACTTTTATCGGCAGAATAATCATATTTTAGGATTGAAGTCACGCGTGGCGTGAATGCCCTATGAATATGCGGGATGTAAAATAAGAGTCTCAATCACATAATAAATTTATTTACTGAGAGGTTTTAGTACATGAACATCATAATCCTTAATTAGTTCTGTTTCACATAAACTCTACCAGGCAACAAGTCGTGTCTGTAGTTCTTGACGGCTCTGGATAGGTTTAAAGTTCAAAAAAAAATTCTAAACACAGATAACCAATAAACATTCTACCCACTAATTAACTATTTAAATAATTCATACATGTAATATCAGAACATTCCAAAAATCTAGTTCCTGCCTCAAAGAAAACACGATGTATCTTCATCAAAAATACAAATTTTCTTTATTGATGTTTAGAGTAATAAACGCTGTTTATTCTTACAACCATCGAAGTCCATAAACGGTAATGGCAACGAGAAGATACATAAAAGTAACCGCTGTGTTGTAAAGATTTAATCCATAGTTAATTGTCATGTGTGATATTTATTTATTTATGGTCGATTTAACGACCCTGTCACTAGATCAGACTAATACATTGCATGATAAGATGGTTAATGAATTGGAAAATATAAGGAAGGAAGCGGTCGTGGCTTAACATAAGGTTATATTGCTGTATTTTCCTGGAGGGACTGAAAAGAAGCAATACACAAAACATCTGGATAGGCTATCCAAATGGCCACGAAGTTCTGTCATGGACGACATGAATCCGTTCTTTAATATTGCACTTTTGTAAACAAACCATCTTCAATAGCCACAAGTTGAAGGCCAAACACATCGCGAGACGAAATATAGTTTACCTCATCTGCTTCCTTGTTTTTGTTCACTGACTTTTTGTATATTTTAACGACAAATCTGTGACATGAAGTAACTGCATTAAATCTAGCAATGATCATGCCTCTGCAATGTTACACATAAATATCTTCATGGGTCTCTCATTCTCAGGTTCATGTCAGCCACGCTCATCGTCACAAGAGTAGCATCTGACGTAATAATAATAATAATATGTAAAGTTTAAAAGTGTACTGATTCATCTTATTTATACATCTCCTCATGATCAAATGTGTATATTATTGTCTCCTTTAGTGAAAAATATAAACAAGCTACACGTTTTATGAAAATTATAAGTTTAATATTTTATTTAAGCACACATTGTACTAAAAAATGTGGTGTTAGTGCGCATTAGTACATTTTGAATCAGACTTGGAATGCCTTAGCTACATATATTATAACTAAGTATTGTAAATAAATGGAACAAATTTGCCGTGCTTGCAGGTTAATGTAAGAAGGGATTGTTCATACAGCCCATACAGTACACGTTCAAGTTTAGCTTTCTCTTGTTTTCCCAGCCCCGTTACATTTACTCACATTTCTATCACGAAGTGACTTTCTTGTTTAATTATCGGCCACAAAATCTTCATTACGCGCAGTAAACTTTTATAGAAAGCAGGGATTTGCGTAATAACCTTACTTAAGCAACAGTCACGTCCACTTATTTTCCAATTACTTAATCATCTAGTCAGTTGACACTTTGTAGCCCGAGCTATTGGCAGAGTTGTTAAATAAATCACAAATGAATAAGGAAAACATTATAAAGAACTTATGTACGTAAATTGGTTTGACGTAAGAAATAATTATTTTCACGTTTTTACTACGAAATTCTTTATTTAAATAGTCTTATTATAAGAGACATAAGACAAGCTAATGACTTCCTGGAAAAGAAAGAACTTTGAACTAGACTCAGAAACAACAGTTCATTGCTAGGAATTCTTAGTTTGTGGAGTTTGTTTGGCCCACTTTTTCGACCTTATAGTTGCTCTCAGAGAATGGATTTTTGTGTGTAAAATATTTGATAAAGTATTATCATCATAGTTGCATATCATTCTATGGTTTACTGATATAACTGTTTACTTAATTATGTTTTCGTTGCTCAGAAAATATGAATACTGATAGAGAACACATAAGATCCAATTAGTGTGAAAGAATTGAGACAAACAACAGGAGGACTTCCGTACACAAAGATAGCTGAATGTAAACAGCAATTCAAAAAATCAATTTTTGTATGTGTGTTTTATACCACGCTAAAAGAAGTGTGTTTATCTTAACGAGTTTTAATTTCTATCAGCGTCACACATGCGAAATCAAAATATCCAATTTTCGTTTCCTCCATCAGACTGTAGTGTAATTACTTCACTTGTATTACGAAGCGTAGTCAAAAAAAAAAAATACACAACCAATAAAATAAATAATACTCTGTATCTTTACGTAAGACGAATCTACCTCTTGAGGCCGACTATGAGACTGTAGAAGCTGGCTTTAAGACGTTATTGCTTGTTTGCTGTGCGATTAACATGATATTTGTAATGTTCTTTCCCAGCATTGCACTAAACTGATAGCACCTGCTGAATGAACTATAAACCAAATTAGTGTAAAATTGTGTTTGGAAAACATATGAAAAGACAGCACGTGCGAGATGTTCTAGTAGGGAAGGATAATATTAAATTGATTGTAAAAATGTATAAGAAAGTGACCTGGATTCGTCTAACTCAGGATATGATCCAGTGATGAATACGATAATGAATCATTTGAGTTCCATAAAAGAAAGGACACTTTTTGACTAGCTAAGCGACTATTAGTTTCTCAAGTTGTACTCTGCTAAAGTTAGTTATTGTGGAGAAATTTAAATGAATCGCTGGATCAGTTTTATTTGAAACGTCGGTTTTGTTGCGGTGTTTTTTTGACCTAATTTTTGAAACGCTGAAACCGTTTCACAGCCTAAAATTATGCAATTAAGCATGATAGTTATTAAATAAATCTTGTGAACCTGATGTTGATGGCTAAAGACATCTTGCATGCTCTGAAGTTAAGATGTAAGTCGTCTGTGGGAATTGGTTGATCTCTCCTCTTTTTTTTATAAGAAACGCTCATCATAGTGACTGGGTACTTTAGAATATGATAAGGACTACTTTTCGACTTTTATGAAGTGATGATAGTAGTTTTCCTCAGACGTAAGATACAGAATGACTCAGCGTCTTTCCGCAACGGACTATATTTTTAAGTTCATGGTATTCATTTTTAGGAGCAAAGATGTATTGCTTGATCTGATATAAACATGTGAGAATCGTGTGGTAAAATGTTGACATTTTTCCCTTATTCCACAAGAAATGCTGATCATAATGACTGTGCATTTCAGAATACGATAATAACGATGTTTGTTATGTAGCGATGATAGATTTCTGCAGACGTAAGATGCAGAATAACACTGTCTTATTTTGCAACGGAATATTTTTTAATTCATGTTATTTATGTTGCACCTCTGAGAATTTTATAGAACTTAATGCTGTAACTTTACAATGTGATTTCTTTGCTTCTGGAATTAGATTCTCAAGCCTGGCTTCAGTTTGAAAACACACCTCAAAATTTCGTGTCTTCTCTATGTCAGTAACCTAATTCTAAGAAAATATTTTATACGTATTTATAGGGGTTAGTATAGAATCGTAATATATATATATATATATATTATATGTTACGCTAACTAACTAACTAACTAGGTGGCTTAGGGAACCTGAAGGTTCATCACCGAATTAACCAAAGCCCTCCACCGGTCCCTGTCCTGGACCAGCAAAACCCAGTCTTCTTCAACTCCTATCTCCCGTAGATACCGTTTGATATTATTCCCTCAAACATCTGCAATCAGTGTTCCTCCCTCAGTGATAGACGAGAAGGGCATAATGCTGATACTGCTTTACACATAGATACAGACAGTTACATTTGGGCGCATGAGCACTAATAATGCACATTTGTCAAAACAAAT